AACGAAATCACCATGGGACTAGTATTAAAAAGACTTCTCTAAGGCTGAGTACGTTTACAGCCACTTTTATTTGTTCTTAACCCTTTTAAGCAGTGACAATCATAAAAGACAGGTGGATTAAGTCTTAAATTCTAGCACCCTAGCATTCTTGATCTGTTATGAAATTTTACCTTCTAAATTTCAGTTCCCTTGCAGTTTCGGTTCCCGATAATACAGCAGTTGGCAAGGACTTTATCGCCCTTCAAATCAACGATGCTGATTCATCCGATTTGGGAAAGTTCCAGTGCTCCCTTACAGTTGAAAATAGCTATTTTTCTGTGGCCTATATCAAGAGCATTGACGCCTGCGGGATTCGGGTAAGAAAGCCTGACCTTTTCTCATATCCTAAAAAAGAAGAGGATTTGAAAGCATTTTCTGCATTTTCTGAGATATCCTCTACCCGCTTGGATTCTGTGGTATCACTGAGAGGTTTTCACTGATTTCATACTTCTAGTGTTACTCAGGTGACGATAATTTGTGCCAATTTTTTATATTCACCTTCGATATCCCAAACACCAGAAGTTGAAACACTAAAATGAATGAGTTATAATCCATATACTCGTTTCTAAGCGAATTTTACGACAGTCTGCGTTTAACACTTCCCCAAAGCATCAGTAAACGCAGTTCTACTTGCACTAGAGAAACATCATTACCTTGGGAATGAATACTTTCTTAAATCGAAGGAAGCGATCGTGTAAGAATGTTGATTTAGTTAAATCTGATTTGCTTTAAAACTCATAGATATTCCCTAGCTTAATTCACGTGATCGTAGGTATGAAAACCAAGATGGTGTGGCCTTCTGTTTGGTCGCAGTCGCCTTAAGCTTTAGAGTGCTGGTTCGACCTCGTTTTCGCAACTTGGTCAGGGTGAAGCTCAACTAGTCCTGTGCCCTCTGCCATAGTGTTCGTGATTTTCACTATCGGACCATTGAGTTGATGCAATCTCAAACGTTTCGCCAGTATCGCCAGTTAGATGTGCCATCGTGTCACATGAGGTGGTGCTCTCAGCTCGCACAGAGAACAAGCTCAAATATAGCTTGGCCCGTTGGTGCATTCCGAGTTTCAAAAAGTAAGCGAATGACAGCAAAAATCTACGATATATAAAAATACCTATTTTTAATTGTATAGATTTGGTTAAATACAAGCTAATGAGCTTTAGGGGTAGCATGTCGAGTTAGCCTTTTAGCGGGAGGATAGGAAGGCTCGTTTGTATTCAAATAACCAGGCGGATTAGTTTGATCGAGGGTGTGGCGTAATGCAGTGCAAAATTTAAGGATCATCAGCGTTTCGATGTCGACAGAATAAAAAAAAAGAGTGCATCGGAATAGCTTTGCATGACTATTATAATTATCCACCTTTAGAAGTCGCAAGCTTGTTGGCAGGGCATCCTTTAGTGCTGATGGAAATATCACAGAGCATATAAAGATGAGACATCGTAATGAATGATACGACCATGTACAGTGTTAATCGGAAGCAAGAGATAGTTGGACCTCAAAGAATTACTTTATCCTGCAAATTAGGGTTATGTTCGAAAGAAAAGAGAAAACAAACTAGAAACAATTGAGTAGATAGATCAACAGATAAATAGTGCAAAATTGATAGAGGGATTGATTGATAACTAGATTGTCAGGTAAGAAGATACCTTAATAAATAACTAGCTAGCGAAATATAAATTAATTGGGGTGAACTATTGTATATAGATATATGGGCTTTCCACCTGTCTTCTCCAAACACATTAACCCAGTGGGCCTCCAGCAAGCACTAAGATTTGATGGGTGAGGTATCTTATTTCCCTGGACCCCGGTACCTTATGAATTGGACTTTTACTCTCAATAATAAAATTAGATTTCACGCAGACTCGGAGGGTTATTTGGTGGTTTGCTAAAAATTACATTTATAAAATAAAAAAGGCCTAAACAGCAAGCTTGCCTTATAAATGCTGAAGACCCCGAGCAACGATAAATGAATCTATGAAGCCCAACCCACCCTGATGTCCGCCTTCTTTTGTTCGGTTCTTCTCCACTTAACTATGTTTGCCAGCCAAGTATCCAACTTGACCAATCTGGTACCACACGGATCCCACCGTCCGCGCAGACGATGTTCATTCGCGTCGTCGACTCAAATGGTGTGCACTCGGCCGACGCCACTGTGACAATCACCGTGACTCAATCCAATAGCCACGTACCGGTGATCAACTTCTTCCCACTTTTGGGTCCTCCCGCCCAAATTGCTGGGACCTCGGCCAGCCTGACGGCCCCAATTGACCTAGCCAGGCTAACAGTGACGGACGTTGACCCAGGGAGCACGTCATTCGATGTCAACTTGGATGCAAAGAGCGCTGCTAGCGGGATGTTTGAATTGAAGAGCCTGACACCAAATACGGTTTGTTACCAGACT